ATTACCACTGGGACCACTGTTACCTTAACCCTCCACATCTTCTCGAGCTCTTCTCTGAGCCTTTGGTATTTCTCAAGCTTCTCGTGCTCCTTTTTCCTGATGCTGTGCAGGGTGTACCCCCGCCTCTCGCCCTATGACAGCTGGGATAGGCTCCAGCGCCCCCCGCGACCCTGAAAAGGATAAGCGGAAGCGACTGGATGGATGGATGAATTTCAAATAAGCTCAATGTTTATTGTTTATTGTGCTTTAGTTATTTGTTGGCATTAGTTTATTTGTAAAATGATCCCATGCAATACAATTCTACTGTACTGCATTCTTTTTTGTTCTTTTTATTCATCAGTCATCAATAACAAAGTTTGTTTTGTTTGATTGGGGAATGTATTTTTTTGATTTGTTAGTTTTTGCAAATAAAAAAACTTTTAGTTTTTGTAATTTCTATTTCAGATAACAGAGAAGCATATTTTTAACATACCTGCTGTGTACTGTAAACAGTCGCTTTCAAGCACATTCACAGATCATTATGTTGTGGTTTATGAGCACTAGTGCTAATCATTTAAACAAGTAAAATACTTAAAACGCATTCAAGTATTCTTGACAGAATTGCAGTGTGCAGAAAAGACACTGAGTAAATACTGTATATTTTCTTCTCATGAGTATTATGTCAGTCAGTTTGATCGTCATCATTTTTACAAATGATAGAAAAATATATACCATAATAATACAATAGCTACAATAAATCACACCATGTTCTTAAAAATGGTTGTAAAAGAATCAAACATTTGTCACTAGTGTCCTTATCCTCACACTTCCATATTTTCCTTCTGCCTTAAAAATATGTTTCTGAATAATCAAAACTAAATGAACATGGTCTAGAAGTTCTAAACTAGCTTCAGTATAGCTTTATATATATTTTTTAAACTGCATGTTAATTACACTTTATTTTAAATGATAAGTTAAACTGCTGTTGGACAGTTAGACCTGTGAGTAGTGTCTATAAAATTTCTGTTATTAAAAATAGCTTGGAGCAACATATAATACTATATGTTGGATAGTTTGATTTATGTGATCTGTTCGGGTTGATGTGAGTAAATGAGATGTACATATTTCAGTGCTTTCCTCTTTATGCCTTTAATAATAAAGATTAAAAATGATTTAAAAATGGAGGATTTAGTGTTTAATAACACATTACAGGGGGTTTTTTATGGGTCTTTTTTTTTTTTTTTTTGCATGTGAAAGTTTCTCAAAAAGCAGAAGTACTAATGAGGAGGTTTTTGTCACAGCCTGAATCACTGTGATACGGGTGCAGAAGCAGAGTCATCCCTTGTCTGACAGTAATACACTGCAGAGTCTCCTGTCTCTGCTCGCTTGATAATGAACTGGTAATCAATGTCTGATGAGGATTTAGAGTTGAATCTGTCTGAGGAGAATCCTGTTCCAAAGCTGGGTGAGCTGTCAGAATAATGAAAACTTAGAACATACTGAGGAACCGTTCCAGGAACTTGTTTATACCATCTAACATAATTCCCATCATCTCTCTCTATGTTGCAGTTGAGAACAACTTCTTGACCTGGAGAAACTGTGTGGACAGCAGGTGTTTGGGTCAAAACGATCACTGCATCAACATCTGCCAGGAAACACACAGAAAAAACAGAAGTTTAAAGTTTATCTCTAAATATGGACTAAAAAATGGAATAAGAAGAAGATCTTACACGTTAGAGCAGTAATGAGAGTGCAGAGGATCCACAGCATGTTGTCAGAGTGAAGTGTAAATGATCTTGTTTGTTTAGCGATATGTGAGTAGGAGAAGAGAGCTGGAGCTTATAAAGAGGAGAGGCAAACTAAAGGAGGAGGAGATTCAAGAAGACTACTTTCACTCATAGATTAAATGATTCATGAGCAGTTTCGCATTGTTGTTCACATTGTTTCACATGTTTCTGATTCATATTCATCATTCAGGCTCAAGTCTGTCATAAAATAATATTCTTGAAAAAGTTGTTGTAGCTGTTGGTGTGGCTCTCATTTTGGCCTTCTGTTGCTGTAGCCCATCTGCTTCAAGGTCAGATGTACGGTGCTCCCAAAGATGCTCTTCTGCATAGCTTGTTTTGAAACATTGCACCAAAAACTGCTGCTCGCTGGATATTTTCTAATTTGAGTCCTCCATCCCTGTAAACCCTAAAGATGGTTGTGCAAAAAAATAATCCCGGTACATTAACAGTGTCTGAAATACTCACGCCAGCCTGTCTAACAACAATAACCATCTCACATTTAGTCATCTTTCTTCTTTATTCTGATGATCGGTTTGAACTTCTGCAGTCTGTCTTGACCATATCTAGATATGTACATTGCTAGCTTCAAGTTACTAGATATTAGATATTTGGATCACTATAATAAGCACTGGAACAGGTGTCCCTAATAAAGTGGTTGTTGAATTTATGTACCGTGACTGTACTGGACTATACATTAGTTGGTGCCACGTTCTCAGTTTTTTTTATATTTTCTTTGCCTGCTTTCTGATGCATAGAGTTTCATGAGTAACAATTTGCTTTTCTCCATTACGTTAGTTATGTAACGTTTCCAAAAGTTCCTTCATATTTTATTTCTGAAAAATGTTTGCACTATTAGACCTGCATTAATGCAGAACTGTTTCCAAAGTTAGTAATGTTTTGAGAATTATTTTTTTTTTGATGACTCTGTCTTTATAGGGTGGTGAAAGTTTTACATTTATTCATTATCATGTTTTTTAGAACTGATTGGAAAGTGCTATGACTTTTCTGCTTTGAGAAATGAGCAAAAATTGTTTGAGAAAAACTGCAACACATTATCTGCAGTTGGTGGGTTAACACTGAGTTGCTTGATCTCTCAGTTATCAGGATGTGGAAGAGTGTCAAAAAGCAGAAGTATTAGTGAGGAGGTTTTTGTCACAGTGTAAATCACTGTGATGCGTACTCCTTAACAGAGCTGTCCCATGTCTGACAGTAATAGACTGCAGAGTCTCCCTCCTCCACATTGTTGATGATCAAATGATAATCTGATGTTGACTGATAAGTGGATGTGAATTTTGGAGCAGAGAACCCAGAGCCATAGGTTGGAGAACTAGAGCTATGATGAAACTTCAGCACAAACTGAGGAACTCCTCCTGGAGTCTGTTTATACCACCGAGCAGCACTGCCAGTAACAGTCCCCAGGTTACAGTCCATGGTGGCTGTCTGTCCTTTCCTTACTGATAAAATAGGTTTCTGTGTCAGCACCGTCACACCGCTCACACCTGCAAACAACAATAAGACATGGAGTCATATGAAGCACACTGATATGTGAATCCAGCACCTAAACTAAGATTAGTCTGAAGTATAAATAGGTCTCATACATGTTAGAGCAGCGATGAGAACACAGAGAGTCACCAGCATGTTGACAGTATGAGCTGAGAATGGACTTAGAAAGAGATTGCACTGTCTAAGTACGATGAAGAGAGGAGGTGTGAACCATTTAATATATAACTGAAACTCAGAGAGACTGACAGGAGGAGGAGCTTTAATATTACTTTGTTAATGTCCGTTAGCTGTATTGTTGATGCTATAACAATGACTTTTTTAAAATTATGGATTAGTGTCTTAGTATGTTTGGACAAACACAGAGCAGTACCTAGCCAACCCTCTATGTTTGACCAACTTAAAATTAATGAAATATTTCTAGGTGTGGGCAGCACATTCTTGATACTAAAAAGATGGAGCAATAGATTTAAAATTAGGACACAGTATAAATGTATGAACTTTGAGGAGACAAAAAACAATAATATAAATAAAGAGTTGTTATCAAATAAAATAGCACAAACATATGAATGTTTTTTTTCATGTTTCACTAATTACAAGACAGAATAGTCAAAGTGCTATGCCTTACTACAGATCAATGGCATTATTACATAATCCAAATCACTAAAATAACAGAACTTTTCCTTGAAGTTTCATGAAAGTGGAATGGTTAATGTAGTAGAATATTTTATAAAATATCACTTTATTTAGAAATACATACCCATATGGAAAAGAAATAGTAAAAACTTGCATAAGATGTGGCCTACTTCATATAGTGAATCATATAAGGCTTATATGATTAGTCATGAAAGTGGCCACTTTCTCATTACTTTCATATATTGTATTAATAAGTATCCAAAACATACAAGTTTCATTTATAAATTTTTTCAAGGGATCTTATATCTGTTTTCACTCTTGTATGCTTTTCATACAAGTTTCACACAAGACAGATACAAGATAAGATTTATATATATCTTTTCCATATGGGTAACAACTGAACACAGGGTCCATACAGTATGTACACAAAAAAATTAGCTAATAGAGTCCCAGCTTATATTGTCACCAAGTTGTTTTATTTTCATGAGCAGTTACAGAACCAAAAAGAACGGCTAATCAGTAGATATGGGAGAGGCCCAGCCAACTGGTTGACACTGAAATTTAATTTGGCCTGTCCTCCTGCTTACTTTACTAAGTCATAATAGACTTGAGTAGAATCATTTAATTGATAGCTTAGCTTGATCCACTTGAGGTTGAGGAGTTACACTGAACTCCTCTGGAACCAATATCAATAACCGTATACAGTCTGACCTTAATTCACTCATCAATACCTCAGGATGTATAATGTAATTTATCAGCTTTATTAAATGTAATGTAGAGAATATTTACAGAAAAATATGTCAAGCTTGGATAATTATTGAAAATAAAATGTGTGTGGACAGGTGAAATTGTATATTTAAAGAGAAAAATCATTTAATGTCTACGCTTTTCCTAATTAGAATAGTTTAAACATGTAGAGTGTTACAGAGTGCTGACACTTCTTCATTTACATGTACTGTAAATATAAATAATAAATGAACTCTTGCAGGTGCATCCTGGGAAAAAGGGGATGAAGAAGTAGAGAAGTAATGCTTCACTGACTGACGATGCAAATTAATTCAGGGTCAGAAACATGTAGTTTCACCGTAACTTTGACCTTTATACATTTAAACCTATAAACCCTTGCTCACTAGTGTATAGTTTGTATATTATATAGTGGCAACACATGTTTTTCAAACTGTCATGACACAAGTTTTTCTAACAAAAATCTCTTCAAGCGGCTGGCCCAGGCTCCAAGCCTCAGGTATGGACAGGTTCCTGTACTTCTTAGGCACCTTCTTCATCGCACCTTTCTGCAACTCCACTAACCTCCCTCAGTGCTACCTTGATGTTAGCCTTTAGCCTGCTTCTCCATGGAGGGTACTGCCCCTTGTGGCTGTTCAACTTGTAGATCAGCTTGTTAGTCTCGGTAATGGTAGCTGTAGGTATTGTCCGTAGTGCTGCATTAACATCATCTAGCAGACCTTCTGAGGGTACTTCACGTAGTCTTGGTAACTGGCTACAGGGGATCGAGGTTTCAAACTTGGCCATGATCCTATCTTTCAAGTTAGTTCCTCTCACACTGAACGATCCTTCTCCTATCGCGCTTGGGGCTTGGTACCCAATCTTGGGTGGGGTGATGATATCTCGCCCCTGACCTGGCGTCCTGGCTCCCCACTGCCATAGCATTTATGTTGTACTTCATCAATCTCTAGCTGTGAGAGCAGTCCCTTCTTTCAAATGTTGGAACACTGAACTGCTAGTTGTTTCGCCGTCATTTTGGATGTTGGGTATGGAAGAATCCATAGGTCCCTCATCCTATTCATGTAACCCCTACCGCCAGGGTTACATGGTTGCATACTAGCATTACAACAACCCTATTTTTGTCTCTTGCCCACCGATACCTTCTTGTCAGGGTGCCCTGGTTCCTCAACACACTGATTTTATGTTTTTTGTCTGATTTTACATCAGATGTGTTAAGTATGTCAAAATGAAAAAAAAATAACAGTAAATTCAGACATGTGAGGTTGTGGTGAAAAGAGCGATACCAAACAAGGCAAGATAAATCGTTTTTAAAGGTGAAATATAGAGGTAAAAACAAAAGTAGTCAAAAACAGCCAATTATATCCTTATTTTCTTCACTGAGCTGGGTCACATTCTCAGTTAGAGACTTGACCGAGTCCCACAGTGAGGCATTTTCAGCAGTGAGTGTTCCAGCGGTGCCTGCCGGGGAACTTCTCTAGGAAGATGGCATCTCGTTCTTGGCTGGGGAAGAGGAACTCTCAGCCTTCCTCAGGTCTACAGTATTTAGGCACCCGTCAATGTATCCCTGGAAAGCATCTCCTTGCTGTCCTTTGGAGTGTTGGAAATGATTTTGCCGTCTGTCAAATGTTTGGTGTAAATTAATCTTCAAAAAGTGCTTGTTTAATTCTGAGCCACCGTTGATTTTTTTTCTGCCAAGTACAGTAAGTCTGTCATCACTACAGCATTTTCGTTCTGCTCCTACTCATGGTCTTTCATGACTTTATATAAGATGGTGCTGTTGCCACAGTAGAGAAAATCCTTCCAACATGTACCATTTTCATTTACAGGTGTAAATGATGTCTCTGTCAATCGGTGCAGCATGTCACTGCTCAGTGGCACAGAGTCATGTGAGCATGGTGCAACTAAACACAGAACAACATGTTGTGCTTTGCCCTTCCTCGGCATGTGCAGGCGATGGGCAAAGCGTGACTGCCTGCATGAGAAGACCAGACAAAGGAAAAGGAAAGGATGAAAGTAAAGTATCAATACTATTGATATCAGATCAATCTGCCGACCCCTTGTCTGTGTATTATTTGATGCGTAGTGTAGTTAGTAAAAGTGGAAATAAATAAGTGAAAATCAAAAACAGCAATTTTTTGTTTGTAAATTCATTATATGCAGCTGGAGATATTACACTGAGTATACTTGACAGCGCTGTGATCAGTATAGAGTCTAAAAAAGCAGAAGGAAAAGTAAGAGGTTTTTGTCACAGTGTAAATCACTATGATACATCCTCTTTGGCAGAGTCGTCCCATGTCTCACAGTAATAGACTGCAGAGTCTCCCTCCTCCACATTCTTGATGATCAAATGATAATCTGTTGTTGACTGATGAGTGGATGTGAATTTTGGAGAGGAGAACCCAGAGCCATAGTCTGGAGAACTATCGCTATGATAAAAATACAGCACATACTGAGGAACTCCTCCAGGAATCTGTTTATACCAAAAGGCACCAGTGTCAGTAACAGTCCCCAGGTTACAGTCCATGGTGGCTGTCTGTCCTTTCCTCACTGATACAACAGGTTTCTGTGTCACCACCGTCACACCACTCACACCTGCAAACAACAAGAACACATGGAGTCAAGATAATACAGATGAATATAACATGAGGTCTAAGCTATACTGTAACTCAAACTCTTTACATGTTAGAGCAGTGATGAGAGCACAAAGAGTCACCAGCATGTTGTTGATTTGAGCAAAGAATTAAGAAGTGAAAGATTTGGAAGAGCTATTTAACACAACTAATGGAAGGAGGAGCTGTTGGTTTTTGTTTGTTTGTATTTCATTGGTTACTTTCCTTTCTTATTAATCATCCATCATTTTTTATAATTTATATATAATTTTTTAACTACTACTACTACTACTAATACTGATACTACTACTAATAATAATACATTGTTGTTATTATTATTATTATTATTATTATTATTATTATTATTATTACTATTATTATTGCTACTACTACTTCTATTAATATTTTAAACAAAAAGTGAGTAGTTTCTGCTACCATTCTATGATTCTAGGACTGACCAAATTATATTACCTAAAACATTATAGGTGTGGCCTGTTACATTCATTTCAGTATTTCTGTGTTTTGTTCCACACTGTGTGTTTGGGAATGTAATATGTTCAGATTTCACAAAAGCTGTGGTGTCACTTAGTTTTTTTTATTAGTTTTTTTTTTTGTCACAGTATTCACCACTGTGTTATGTCCTCCCCAATAAAGTCTCTCCATGTTTCACAGTAACACTTTGCAGAGTCTCCTGCTTTTAACTGTCAATTATGTTAAATATCAACACTTCACCAGGTTCTTTTGATTCCTCAAAGACATCCGATGGAAGACAACACACTGCTCAGTAAACCATTTTACACTTTATTCTCTTACACAATACTTCTAGAAGGGAGATGCGTCCTGAATGACACGTTGCCGCAAATCTCAAAATGGTGACACACGCTTAACAGTTTTTATTCCAAGCTGGCCCATTCTAGTCTAAACAACAGCATTTCACTAACTTTCCACTAAAACACAGTTCCCCATTATCTACTCTCTGCAGGCAAACGTGGGCGAATGTCTACTACATTTCTATCCCCTAAGGACACATAGTCTAATGCCTTTATTTTTCAGGGCCGTGTCCACTTAATACTACACTATATGATTTTATGGCATTTTGGTTAATATTAGATTAATATAAGGCTCAGCATTAAAGCACTTCAGGTAACTTCATTCGAACAATTAGCATCTGATTGTCCCCATTGAAATACTGTGTACATACTGAAGAGCTCTATCTGAGATTCTTCTTTAATCTCTTAATTCTGCACCTAGGAAAAAAACACTATTTGTAGGTGGTGGGATTACAGTGAGTTTGTTTTTTGTGTCTTTTATAAAAAGAGCATCAAAAAGCAGAAGTATCTCTGTGGAGGTTTTTGTCACAGTGTAATTCACTGTGATACGAACTCATCAACAGAGCCGTCATATGTCTTACAGTAATAGACTGCAGAGTCTCCCTCCTCCACATTGTTGATGATCAAACTATAATCTGTTGTTGACTGATGAGTGGATGTGAATTTTGGAGCAGAGAACCCAGAGCCATAGGTTGGAGAACTATCGCTATGATAAAAATCCAGCACATACTGAGGAACTCCTCCTGGAATCTGTTTATACCAACAGACGTAGTTATCAACAGTCCCCAGGTTACAGTCCATGGTGGCTGTCTGTCCTTTCCTCACTGATACAACAGGAGGTTTCTGTGTCAGCACCGTCACACCACTCACACCTGCAAACAACAAGAAGACACAAGGTCAAGAGTAACACACTGACAAATGAATATAAAATTGGGTTTAAGCTATACTGTAAGTAAGACTCTTTACATGTTAGACAAGTGATGATTGCACAGAGAGTCACCAGCATGTTGTCAGTGTGGGCTAAGTATTCAGTGGAGAGATGGTGGTGGAGAGGTTATTTAATACAGCTAACAGGAGGCGGAGCTTATTTATTTTTTTTGTCTTGCCTGTATTATTAGTACTATTACTGTCACGTTCCTGGGTCACTTTGACCCAGCATTTTCAGTTCTTACATTCCTTTGTAATATGGTTTGGTATTCTGATCCTTTTGTTATGCTTTGTTTATTAGTATTATTCTATGTTCTTTGTGAGGGGTTAGTTCTTGGGTTGTGTCAGTGCGTCTAGCTTTGCTCCCCGTGTCTCGTTAGCCCAAACCCTCTCAGCTGTGTCTCCCTCCTGTTTCTCATTCCTTGATGACTCCCTCAGTGTATTTAAGCCCAGTGTGTCCTTGTGCCAGTGTCGCGTCGTTAATGTCAGTTCACCCTCAACCCGCTGTTTTGTTTTGTCTCCCACGCTGGTTCTTTTCCAGTGTTTTAGTCTTTAGTTCCTCTGTCCAGAGTTTTGTTTGTCTTTTGTGGAGTTTAGTTTAGTGAGGTTTTTCCCCAGCAATAAAGCTGCACTTTAAGTTTTACTTCTGTGTCTGAGTCCTGCATTTTGGGTCCACTTCCCCTGCCTGCCTGCCACACTGCACATCATGACAATTACTATTATTGGTGCTGTTTTGCGCTTGTCTACTTAAGGCAGGCAAGATCATCCATTTTTTTCTATGTATTTGTTTGTTTGTTTCTTACATTGGAATGGTTACATTCTCCACGTCCTAAATGAAACAGGGTTATGCTTGGTTATATTTGATCCTTTTTTTTTTGTGCTTTATTCAGAATTTTCAATTATATGTCAAATTTTTGAAGCAATGTAAAGTAGACAATTTCAGCTTTAGCGCTATTCTCTGACATCAAAATTTATGGTTTCCACAAAAATGCAATCATCTAAATATTTAAAAATGAGATGAAACTGAAAGATGAAAGAGAAATCTGCACATCTGCAGCCATTTCAATAGGAAGAGGTTGTTAGATAGAATGAGCACAATTAATAGGTGAACAGAATTTAGATGGAGATATTTGGAGGAGTAAGTACAGATCTTGTAATTGAACTTTATTGAACTGCTGAAATCTTCATAAGTCAATGAGACCAGACTTATTGTAAAGGTGATGCCCAGTTGATGGTGAAGATCCAGTGAAAGCAAACTCTGAAAATACAGAAAATATCTACAGCAATTCAAAACTTTCAAGCTATTTTCTGCTTTTATAGATAGTTGATACTTTGTAAATGAGATACTGAGGCCTGTAGGTGCATCTTGAAAAGAAGTTACAGACCTGGACTCAGTTTAGTCTTTCTTAACAGTACATGAGATATGCAATCAGAGAAAAAATGTAAACAGTATTCAGCTAATTGTTTCAGGATGATCATAACTGAAGCATTTCCAGTAAGTAGCAGCTCTGTTTTATTTTACAGAAAGCTGATACTTCTTTATTTACATGAGGTTAGAAATGAGTTGCAGAAACTTGCAGGTGCATCCTGGGCAGGAAGAAACAGAAAAGGGTCGAGGTGATGCTTCGCTAACGGAGTGTGAAGGGTTTTTTTGTAACTTGCAAGTCTGCAACCAGCTTTTTAAACAAGTGAAACTTGTGCATCATGTACAACAAATTATGAAATGATGCTCTCTAGTGTACAGATATTATTATAATATTTATTCATTCAATAATTGTGAGAATGGCTGAAAGACTTTCAAGAGTGATGTGATTACAGTTAAACTCCAAAGATAGAAAAGTATTTTCTTATTAAACTTTGCAATAACGCAGAAATGGTGCACATGTTGTATATTAAGCCTTTTAACTTTATATGTAAATAACTGTAGTTTCTGTGACAGCACTAAATAGGTTGACAACAGAAATCAGCAGGTTGTCTTTGTGATAGTGATAACTCATATTTCCAGATGACATACAACTAGAGAACAGGAAGAAATTGTTCTCTATAATATGAATACTTTGGAAATGTAGTTCATCCAATTTAGGTCTTGGCAATTATATGTGCAGATTTCTTTCTAAAATTTGTTTCAATCCAAAAATTTTAACAGAATTGAGTGAGAACTTAATAAATCAGGTGATTACCTGAAGTTGAATCTTTCAAACAAGAAAAGAATCCATCAAAACTCTGCACAACTGTGGATCAAGGGTGTCCTGCAAACTCTTGGTCAATGCTGCCATCTGTCTCCTATTAGTGGAGGTGTTCTCCATCAGTTCTTTGCTGGCTTTAAACCCAACTGAACAGCATTGGAAAGTAGTTGTGCAACTGTTGAGCAAACAAAAAATTCATTCAACACAAATTACCAGGTTATCAGATATGCTGTACTTGCATTTTTAATTACAGAAGACATTTGTATGACTAGACATGGCCTCATTGCTAGATTAATACTCCTAAATATGATAAAGTTGCCAATCCTGAGATATCATTTTATTATTAGTTTTGGATTTAAGGAAAAGGAAAGTGAAATCATGTTGACGGGTATCAATTATATGGTGATATAGTGATGATTCTGCAAATATTTTGTGATGGCTAAATACTAGCGACCGACCAGTTGCTCTAACACCTGTTAAAGTGTTTCAAGAAGCTGGTTCCACACCACATCATGTCCTGCCTGCCACCCACACTTGGCCCACTAAGATGCAAAGCTAATAGATCAGCTGAAGGTGCCACGGTTACAATATTCCACACCACCAACGCAATAAGAAAACCCTGAAAAAAAACCTCCAAAAGGTTAGCATTGGGAACTACAGCAGGAAATATGAAGAGGAGGAAAAGAAAAGGAAAAGGACAGTAAAAAGCAGGCAAAAATGAAAAGACAAATTAGTCTTTAATCTAATTAGAAACATGTAAAGTATGCATTTTACTCTGTAATTCAGTCCACATTAAAGTCAAGATTTTCACCCCTAAAATAACCACTGCAAACTTATTACAATGTTACCGTCACTAACTGCCAAGTGACATCTGTGCTGTGGACAGGATGCACCTTTTTTTTTTTTTTTTAAACTAATTTCAAACCATCAAGTTTTAATGTTGTTGATACAGGAAAAGAATCCAAAACAAGTCCAAAGGAATCAAAAATATATGCCAAATGGAGTCAGGAAATAAGTTGCCAGAAAGCACTAGAATATCCTCAGAGACACAGAGCCACATTACACACAGCAACAAACTTGCTGTGTGTAAAAAGACTTGACAAGGTGTCCTGAAACCTTTCGATGTGTCCCTGCTGCAACACACCTCAATAACACGAGTAGGTCATTAGTAAGACTC